CCCCTCCCCTCCCCTCCCCTCCCCTCCCCTCCCCTTTCCCATTTCCTCCCCTTTCCCATTTCCCCTTTCCCTTTTTCCCTACACGCTTTTTTTGTCGGCTAAACATCTCGTGTACGGCCGATGTCTTTCTTGTATGTATGTATGTACGTAGGTAAAAATTTACGATTACGATTTTTCTTACGTTATTTTTATTATTTTAATTACAGATGCAACTTCTTTGTCCACTCTTACAGCTTCTGTTCTTCTATGAAATGGATCTTGCAGACAAGTTGAACTTAGGCAATTTTTAAACACATTCATCTAGAAATACTTTTCATACTAACATTTTCATTTTTCTTATTGCTTCTGTGGGTTTGGTTTTTATAACGGTGATGACATTATTAATATTAAATTAATAATACAAAATTTTGTTGTAGCTAATTTCTCATAGAAAGAAAAGGGGAAGAGTTTCCGTTGGAATTACTGTTGAAGTTTAATTCACAATTTACAAGGAAATTATTCACAATTACCAAGGAAAGTATCCTCAAGGTTGAAATACTTAATAATGTTTCGTCTAGCTATTTGAAAATATATTTAGTATTTGCGTTTTTCGTTTATAATTTTAATTATTTTCAGGTGTTGCACTCGATGTATTCTTGCTTTACAAATTTCTTCAATATCAAACAGCAGGTAAACTCTTGCTACAAAGTGTAGAAAGAATTGTTTACTTGAAACAAAAAGCTTCAATTTAAGTCTGTGCATAGATTGGAGCCTCAATCATGAAATGATACAACTGGCCACGCACACCACAACAAGTCATATGTTTAATGTATTTAATTTAAAATATATGCTTTTCGAGTCAAATTACTAGTGGTTTTTCCCTGTACACCATGCGATTTAAAAATTTGCCTTGCCTGTCATCAATCTAACACTTTTCAATGGAAAATTTTGAACTGAAATGAACTCATTTTCAGTCTAAATCAGAAATTGTTGTATAGTTAATCGATATCTCCTGTCCTATTTTGTTTTATATCAAATAACGTCAGTCATCTAACTGTTTTTAAAGCTTAAGGAATAGCAATATAAATAAAACAATAAAACAGATGGCAAGATAAATAACAGTGAGAATTTATAGGTCTATAATTTCTTCAAATTTCAACAGTATAAGAAAAATAATTTTTGAATATTTAATTTAAATTAATATGATATAACTAAATTCCTTAAATATATTTTTTAAAAATTTTAATAATTTTAGTTAAAAATTGTAGTATTCTTTATAAAACGAATTGCGCTTTTTATAAGTAATAAAGCATTAATTATGAAAAAGTCAATTAATTCTCCTTTGACTAAATTTCATCCATTGCTCTTCATCGATTTATTGTAATTTCATGTCTATTCACTGTGATGGTTCTTTGACAATAAATTATGTTTTGCGTAAATAAACAAACACTATGAGAACAATAGTTATTAAATTCTACGAATTTTAATAAAAAATACGTCATTAGATCTCTATTTTTATCCTTAGCCGAATGCTTTATATGACATTAAAAATCTGTATTTATATTTATTTTATTACACTCTGTGCTGTGACGACTGCATGGCTTCCATCTTCATGATTAAAAATTGACAACAGATATTATAGATATGAAAAAAGGTGAATAAATTATTGTTAAAGTTTAACTAAACTATTGTTCAATTAAACTCGCTAGTTAATAAAACTATATAAAACAATTCCGAGAATAAGCAATTATCAAAGAACAAACCTTAAACAGAAAAATAATTTAATNTAATCAATATCCTATTTTGTTTTATATCAAATAACGTCAGTCATAACTGTTGTTAAAACTTAATGAAGATGGCAAAACAAATAACAGTGGGAATTTATAGGTCTATAATTTCTTCAAATTTCAACAGAATAAGAAAAATAATTTTTGAATCTTTAATTTAAATTAATAAGATATAACTAAATTTTCAAATATATTTTAAAAGAACTTCAATTTTTTTAGTTAAAAATTGTAGTATTCTTTATAAAACTAATTGCGATTTTTTATAAGTAATAAAGCATTAATTATGAAAAATCAATTAATTTTCCTTTGGCTAAATTTCATCCATTGCTCTTCATCGATTTATTGTAATTTCATGTCTATTCACTGTGATGGTTCTTTGACAATAAATTATGTTTTGCGTAAATAAACAAACACTATGAGAACAATAGTTATTAAATTCTACGAATTTTAATAAAAAATACGTCATTAGATCTCTATTTTTATCCTTAGCCGAATGCTTTATATAACATTAGAAATCTGTATTTATATTTATTTTATTACACTCTGTGCTGTGACGACTGCATGGCTTCCATCTTCATGATTAAAAATTGACAACAGATATTATAGATATGAAAAAAGGTGAATAAATTATTGTTAAAGTTTAACTAAACTATTGTTCAATTAAACTCGCTAGTTAATAAAACTATATAAAACAATTCCGAGAATAAGCAATTATCAAAGAACAAACCTTAAACAGAAAAATAATTTAATTTTTTGTGCTATTTTATTTTAAAATACATAGTGTGATAAGAGCTTGTTCATAACTTGAAAAAAGTAAATTTAAATAATTAATTAATAGAGAAAAGCTAGTACTAATTATTAACAGTGAATATTCTATTATCGGATAAAGCCACAGTTAGTAGAAAGAATAATTAGTAAAATAATCACTTTGAATATAAATGAATGTGTTTTAGCCCTTTGGCTGCTAAAACACATTCATTAACATTTTCAGTGTAATGGATTTCGATGACTCTAATGTAAACGTAATTCCTTTTTATTCGTAATTGGTTGTTTACATACGGTATCCTGTACACACCTGCTTTCTTTTCTTTCTTCATGTTTGTCATATTTCAATATTCTGTGAGTATTTGGCCTCTTTTAAAAATTATTTTACAGACGATATGTTTTACCAGTACTTTCATAACGTTTTTTGTGTTCCTATAATAATATTCAGGAATGATACATGGTTCGAAAGTTTCTATTGCTACTAGCTTTAACGACCGATAGAAAAAAACTTAAATACAGTAGAGCCTCGATTATCCGACCCAATTGAGGTCTGGGGTTGGTCGCATAATTGAAAAGTCGGATAATTGAAAAGTATGAGAAAATCCATTATTAGTGTAGTATATTATTATATCCCATGTAATTTGTATATCAGTATATTAGTATATCGCTACTAACCAACTTCGCGTTGAATTTTCATCGATGTTAAGCCTAACAAAAATTTTTTTAAATAATAATCGTCGCTATTATATCGTTAAAAATTAGAAAATTAAGCCTCATTTAAATACTGGCTCCCTTTCCTGGTCGAATGAGTGTTACCAGCTAAAACACGTAAAAATAATTATAAAGTAGCCAAGACATAGCCAAATATTGTAGCGCCACATCACTAGCGGACATTTGAAATTTGCCGACTAAGACGGTCGGTTAACCGAGGTGTCAGTTAATCGGGGATCGGAAAATCGATGCTTTACTGTAATGTGATATTGCTACAAATTGAAGAGATGAGAGGAAAGACAACAACAATCAAATGTGAGCAAGTAAAGTAACTTACTGTATGGTTTACGAATTAAATTACTATCATTTGAAAAGACCTACAGTGAGTTGGACTAAATGTCTCGTTATGTCAATCGTGAATCGTAAAATACATCGTGCATAGAAATCGACACGTTCCATATCTATGCTTTTCAGGCAATTAAAGACGGAAACTACAATGACCTCAGTTTCAGTATTGCTCTGTCCGTTAAATAAACTATAATTGAGTAAAAGATTTGCAAGGAAATGCAATATTACTACATATGACCGTTTTGCTGTAAGATTCTTAAATTGCACACGAGAAGCTAATTTATTACTAAAAAACTAGAACTAAATTTTCTCTTGTTTTATGTTTAAATATAATATCGAAATTATTTTCAAAATTTCGTACATGCAATCAATTCCTTTGCATCAATAAATAACCATTCAAACTACCATTTAAGTAATGATCCGGAAATGTGAGTAACCAAAAGCTACTGATTCCAGTTACCGAATTAAAATATATATCTTGGCTTAGGGAACAGAGCTTATATTAACATAAGCTCTATTTTCCCGAGATCTAGTTCTAACTAATATGAAGATAGCATTATATAATGTGTAAGATATGCAGCCTTTGAATATAAATGAATAGAATTTGCAGGTTCTAATAAAAAGCATAACTATAAAGCGGGACATTTACATTATATAATTATTTATATGTATTTTTCACAATGGTCGCAGAATAAAACGATGGTTTCTTATCTGTTAACAATAGAAGCATAAAAACAAACATTTAATTACTCGTAGTCGATACAGTTGAAGAATTTCTTTGTTTCGTCTTTTGCCTCATTTGCATATACATCAAGATGTAAGTCATCAAGCCACTAATTATCTGAAAAAATTGAATAAATACAAATTTACATAAATATTCTTATACTACATTACATTATATATAATGTTACATATGTTATTTGACATTACATTCACAGTTATGGTATATTTAAATATTGTTTCATACTGTACCTCTATTAAAGTGTTACTAGACACAACGAATATTCCTAAACAACTATAACCAATTCTTGTTCCTTTCACTCTTTCTAATGAAGTATTAATCTAAAAATATTAAATTTACCTATAAACTTATGCATTTATATTTTCGTTGGCTATAATTAAATATTCCTTACTTGAAATATTTGACGTTTCGGAATTTCAAGAACTGGAACTTCACGTAAAATATATTCTAGATGGTGAGCCTGAAATGATTTGGGCATTTAGGCAACTCAAAATAAATCTATATTGTTTAGAACACTTACCTTGGAAGATAGTCCAGCGGCTTCTAAAGTAACGACCATGACAATTACGCAACACATTAACATATGAAAATACATAATATAATTGTACTTCGAATGTTCTGCAACAACAATATTACAGAAAAGCAAAAATATAGTCGGAATGATGACAGAATAAACGCAGAAAATGTATAACTTAAAGAATTCTTCGGCTGCCTCTATCATCTGTAGACATTTCAAATGGTGTTTCTGCACTGATTTAAGCATGTGGATCATTTCTGGATGATCGAAGAGAAATTTGAATTGCTGATTGGCTTCGTTCAATTTCTTTCTTATTATGGCAGTTACGAGCATGTAATAATAAACGGCAATTTGGATTATCATGCTTATCACAATAACGTATGGTACGTAAATTACGATGAATGCAACATTAAACAATGAGTTGTGTTGATATTTTAAATATATTATTTCTTTCTGATCTTTGAAAACAAAAAAGCTTACAACAGCAATGTTAATTGTTGAAGAGATTACGAAAATAAGAACCCATTCCAGCTTTTTAATGTAAGCATATTCAGAATGAAAAGTAGGATTGATGCAATGAACAGTTTTAAGCATTAATTGTGTCAAAACATTCTCTAATTTACATACGGCACTCTTTCTGTTGTAAACGAGTAATATGAACAGTGCAAAAAAACCAAAATATAATTGCACTATGTTATAAATTTCTATATTTATGATGTCAAAAATGTCTTCGTAAACATTAAATTTTTCTATTATGTCAGTTATTAAATACACTGATAACACGAAAAGATCGACGGTCAGTACCCATAGAAAACCGATTTTAATACATCTTAATCTATCACCGTCATCACAAATGAGGAAGAGAAATTTCATTACTCTGCGAGTGTTCTTAATTAAGCATCTGAAGCAAACGTAGTTAAGTATTCTCGAATAATTTGGATGGCATTCGACGCATTGGGTTGTCTGCATTTTTTTGGTGAATGTTTTAATCGTTAATACAAAATATTGTTTATTAATGTGTTAATCGAACGTAGTAAATAGTAATACTTACAGATTTAATGTTCCGTGATATTTTAATAAAAATTTGTCAGTGTTTGCTTATTTCGAAGTGTCTAACGATTGGTAATTATTTAAACTTCTTCGTACATAATTTTAAAGAGTTTTCAAAATTAAATATTGTGTATAACGTTAAGATTCGAGTCATCTTGAAATATAGAATATAGAAATCACCAGATCCAAATAAATAGTGTTAAAAGCAGTAAACCCTCTCATATAGAACAGTTACGTAAAAGCTTGAGTGACTACGTCATATTCGTGATGCAAACCATAATATCTTTATTAGAAGAAATCTACGTTAAGCAATTTACTGTAGTTTATGGTTATAACTTCGTTCTAATGGATATATAATGGGTTTACTCTCTTTTCGTTTAAGTATTTCTATTACTCGGCAAACAAGCGAAGAAGGAAATTTGAAAATTTATTCTTTTAAGATTACTTTTATAAATGAATTAGGAAACGATCGATTATTAATTTCAGAAGCATTTTAATTCTGATTTGATTTACNTTTGTTTAGAGCACACTCAGTCAGACATTACTATTTAGTTGTGACAATATCGCATATGCGTTGTAAATAGTCGTAGATCAGAAACAAACTTTACATTTAAACTATAACAATAGTTAAATTTAATGTTTCAAATTTTGAATTTATATCAAACTTTGTTGCACGTAAGTTACGTAATAATAAAATAACGAATTATAATGTAAGAACTATGTTGGTGTCAGATGTCAGATGTGTGCTTGAAGTGTTCATTTTTGAATTTTTATGCGTTTGTTCTTTTCAAGAACATTAAAATATTATGACATATAAAATACTAAACTTAAATAAGTGAATAAGGAAAGAAACAATAAAAGTTGAAAAATGTAATTTGTGCAAAAATATTTCATTTTCTACACATAAAGTAACAACTGCCATTCAGAATATTTCTCAAGCACATTCGTAATTATAGTAGTTACTGATGATTCATTATACGCAAATTAATGCTGTTTTACTTAAATACTTCAGACAATTCGTTCAGTATAAACTATCACAATGATAACGATAAATGATTTACATGGGTGAAAATCGTTCATTGCGTTGTAAGTTAACTACAACGATAGTCACTTGAAAATTATCAGTAGAAAAATTATGTTAAACAAGATTAATTAATAAGTAACTGGTTTATTTTACAGCTGGGTCTTTCCTGTAATAAACAAAGGAAGAAAGCAAATTTTAAAAGAAAAGGATTTACACGGAGCCTCGCAATATCACACCTCAGAGTATCTTGGGAATCAGCTTCAAAAGTAAGTTTAGTATTTAGTTTTGAATATCGAAATTTCAGTTATTATTTCTTAATATTTCAGGTTCATTTATGATTTTTTTCAAGTTTAACAAAATAATTATACAAAAAGTAATATTGTTTTATTTATTTTATTTTTTTCACATATTGTTACTTCTGTAATGAACAGTTAACTTATGCTTGACGTTATAGAAAGTTATAACAAGTACAAATACTGTTAATTGAACTCCCATCTACAGCAATAATACAGCTTTATCTACATTTTGTTAAAATTTCGTGACATTCGTGTTTTTTTAATCTCAAAATAATCGACAAAAGACGTTATTTTAGTTATTATATTGCAAGAATTAATAAATCATCCGTTCAAAATAACTAGAATATTTTCAAACTTTTCAATGAGTCCTAGTTGAGCAGTTTATGCGGCAACGCACTGTACCTCTTTCATCGATAAAGATTTGTATTTTACGTTACTAAAACTCAATGAGTCTTAATAGATTAAATTAGTTTATTTTATTTAAGCTTTTGTAGTTTTCTCATTCACTTTATCTAAAACATGACATATTCGTAGTCGAATTTCTGATATTTTATAAATTAAGATTAGAAATAATTTGTCGAGTAATAGTTCTATTATCAATACTAGAATTAATTATTATCTTGATGAATATTTGTCTTAATATTCGGTAACACAACAATTTGATATAATACAACAATGAAATTATTTTGAAAAGATTTTTATTTTTACGTTACAGTTTATTTAATCGTTTCCATTTTTTGATTCAGTTTATCTAAAGCAAGACGTTTCTGCACGTAATAATTTTAAAATTGATTTTTTAGGATATAAATTATTTTTAGATCAGAAATTTCTCGAGTAAATTAAGATTATAAATTATTTTAATATTTAGAAAACTTGTCAGTTCAATTCATTGCTTCATTAATATGCGATAATAATTTTTACAATTTGTACTAACAACCGATGTGGTTGAGAAGTATTATTATATATTTCTAATCTTTTCTTTTTGTTCTAATATCCGAATAAATTAAAACACGACAATTTGAAATACAGGGATACCTCGACTTACATCGTTTCGAGTTACGTCGTTCCCGATTATACGTCGTTTGTCAAAAAAGTATATGAAAAATAAAAATCAAGTTTAATTCATTTTATTCGACTTTACATCTGTCCACCACAAATATTGAATTCGTAATATCACTAGAAAAACGTTTAAAGCACATAAAATCATATTAAAATATATACTAGTATGTTCTGTATTTACAGTACATGCATTCGTAAATTTAGAATACTTTTTTCTGTACTTTATTAAAAACTAAAATTTATTTGTTTGTAAGCTTAAAATAGATTTTTATTAACCATATAATATTAAAAATACATTAATAAATAAAATACAGAACAGGGAATAGTAATTTATGGTTTAGCATAGTGACAAGTCGATTCGGAGACAAGTAAATTCGACTTACGTCGTTTTTCTGGAACCAATTACCGACGTAAGGCGAGGTATACCTGTAATATAACAATAAGACAAAGTAAAGTAGGGAAATAGTTTAATATAATAATTATTTAAATTATATTTGTTACTTATTTATTAATTAAATACCTACCTGAACAATGTATTGATCTTGAAAATATCTGTTTTTTGTTTAATTAAGAATTGTTCGTAAGATAGAATATCGCAAAAAGAACAATGCTTTTTAAAATATTTGCGGCAATAACAATTTTTAAATATTATCCAATCTTAGACACCCCAAGAAGTTAGATGTATAAATGATTGTAGTTTCAATTTTTAAAAAGACTTTTTTTCTATCTGTCCACCTTTAAAAAAATAATCCATTATACGTTGTGAAATAATTTAAAAGATTTGTAAATTACTACGTTTGATCCAGCCAGTTATATCCGATGGTTTTTTTTGTCTATACAATTCATGAGTTTTTTGGTAGTAAAATTGACTTGCCATTGATCTTTTGTTGATACTTGATACTTTTTAACAGATTCTATAGATTGTAATAGATATAAATATNAATTACTACGTTTGATCCAGCCAGTTATATCCGATGGTTTTTTTTGTCTATACAATTCATGAGTTTTTTGGTAGTAAAATTGACTTGCCATTGATCTTTTGTTGATACTTGATACTTTTTAACAGATTCTATAGATTGTAATAGATATAAATGTCTATTACAGCTTCTATAAGACTGTGTTATGTTTTTAAAGCCAATTGTCGATAACTTGAAATGCTTCAAAATCTATTAGCATCGCATTCTGTAATTTTACATAAATAAAAATTAGGATTAGTATTATTTTATATTCAATAAGATAATAACGAAAAAATTTCATACATCAATATTTTTACTGACCATATAGAATGTTCATTGATATACCAAATGTCTGGTCTTCCTATTTTTGATATTATAACACGATTACATTCAATTATTTCATCCATTTTATCAAATTTTTAATGTAAAATCTGTAAAAATATAATTCTTAAATTTATATTGTAGTTTAATTGAAATACATCTTATGTTTTTAAAATTAAAAAAATCAATTTAGTTACTAAAATAAAATGAAAGATTATAAAGTATAAGAATTTAGCTCAAATTGTACAGTAGCAATAATAATAATAATAATAATAATAATATTAAAATAGTGCCTTTCTTCAAATTAAATTTATACTGTGTGATCAAACCAACTCATTAAACTGAATTACTGTATGGTTTATACTAAACCATAATTTCTTTGAAATAATATTTATTTAAGTGATAAACTCTAATTAAAGATATTAAATTTATAAATTGAAACTCTGATTATACAGATTTTTTTTAAATTATAAACTCATCTCACCTCAATGTAAATTATTATATATCAACAAACTTTAAAAATAAATTTTACAACAATAAGGTAATTTATTTTAAAAACAACTTAATTAAATAAGTCAACTAAAAACATAATAAAATTGTAACACTATCTGTATTAGTTATATATTAAAGTATGTACAATTCGATTAGTTTAAAATA